CAGAGGGAGACAGAGCATGAATGGGGGAGGGTCAGAGAGAGGGAGACACAGAATCTGAAACAGGCTCCAGGCTCTGAGCGGTCAGCACAGAGCCCGACGCGGGGCTCAAACTCACGGAGTGTGAGATCGTGACCTGAGCTGAAGTCGGCCGCTCAACCGACTGAGCCACCCAGGCGCCCCTGTACAGGAACAATTCTGAAACATAGCAGCCAAAAGCATAGTTATTTATGTGCTCTGTTACCCTGATTTAGGGGGGAAAAAAGACAAAAGAGGATCAGTTCCATACAAAGAACACAGTACTCCGCAAAAACAAGTAAAGTTTAGTTGAAAGGGAAACGGAGGAACTAAGCTGGCAACTGAGAAGCATAAACCATTTTGGCCTAGATTTGTTTGTAATGACAGTGTGACCCAGATACTCAATATTTGGCTAATATCTAAAAATCTGAAAACTGAAAGAAATGGTTTAAGTTGATTAAATATTTTAGTCCAAATGATGGGTGCTTAAAAATATACAATTAGCATTTTCTATACAGAGATTTTTAAAACTGCAAGTATTTTTGCTTTGTAAGTAATCCCATGAGTTATATTTCACCTTTATAGCCATATAATAAGGATGAAACTATTACTGAGACCATGGTACAAAAATCTTCTGAAGAGCAGAAGGAGAATATACCCTTTGTAAAGTAAAGCTTATTTAAGAAACTATTTATATAAACTTAAGTTTGTTCCATTCATGGCCCACACAGTTCATTCTACAGAGTTGTCTATTAAGTGTCGAGAAAATTTTTGGAAAAAAATTCCTCAGTAGCTATCAAAGTGCTGCTAACGAGGGTGCTGGAACAGGAGACAGAGAACAGACCCACCAGACACCACCTCATACTTCCTGGGAGTGACAGGGAAAGCTGCTGGTGCTTCCTGTAAGCAAAGAGTTCAGACAGTACATGCTCCTTAATGCACCTGTAGCGACAGTACTGAGTGTTTATCCAGTGCTTCCTTCCTAATGATCCACGATTTGATTCAGTATCCAAGTCTCCCCCAGTAGACCTGTGGACCTCAGGGGAAGCGGACAGACCCTGAGCCTCCAGTCTAGCCCACAATTAGTCTAATCCATTATTATGGTAAGTCCCTTCTCCCTTGCCAATGATTAGTTTAGGTGTTTTAGAATTAGACAAATTTAGGTCAATGAGAAGCAAGCAGGGGTGAAGGTAAAGGGTAACTGCTTAAGAGAAAGAAAAAAAGCTATAATGTCTTTGAAAGTGAAGTTATCTTCTTTGGATCTGAAAGAAACATATAATCCTGATTGCAATTGGTAGCCATTCTGTAACTACAACACTGGGATAAACCAATACTGTGTAGAAAAAGTAGAACAGAAAGCCAAACTGAATCCTTTAAGAAATCACTGAGCCACCAACCTAACAATGTATGTCTGCTGCAATAACTCACTTCTGGTGCTTTCTTATGAGTTAATTAATATCCTTTTAAGTCAAAAATCAGATGAATCTGGAAATGAATTAGCTTTTAGAAAACCGATAGGTGCCAAGTTCTCAATACTTTCAGAAAATTATAAAACCTATTTTTACCTATTCCTGGCTTTTAAAGATATATATATATATATATATATATATAAAGATATAATATAAATATATTATTTTTCTGTATTTTCTTAATTGCCTATAACAATTGTATATTATATATGTTATTGGAAGGCAGTATTCAAAATATCAGAATGTAAAAAACAATTGAGCCTCTTCTTGATCATTAATACAAAAGTCAAATTATGCTTTTAATACAGTACTGCAATGAGTCCCTGATCTACTCAGATTGCTATAGTGTGATTTCTCTGATATCACAGGTCTCTTGTTTTTGCTGTACTTTACTCCTAACTGTTTAAGAGAGAACCATTAGACTTTCATCTACATTTGATTGGTTCCCTGTACCCTATACACTCCCATCCCACTCTGAGTTCCCAGTCATGCATATTCAGAGCATTGAATTTGCTAGAAATATGCTCTGAAACTTATAAAATTATTTTGGGGACAGTGAATTTTTCTTTGAACTTAAACTAAATACCATCTAGATAATTAGTTTTGTACTTCTTATAAATAATATCTCATTTCCTCTTTTCTTCTTTTTCTTTCCTTCCTAATTTTGATGTTTCCTTTGCCTAGAAATAATTTTGATCTTTTCCCAAATATAGAAGACCTCTATAAAGCAGAAGGTATAAAACAGAGATGTTTGGGCCAAATATATTTCACAGGCATATTTTGCACAGTAGTCACAGAGTATTTTTAAAACAGCTGAATTAGTTACCAACTAATTCACATAAAGATGTGTATTTTAGGATCCTTTTGAAAAACTAAAAAACTTGGCAACAATCAGCATTAATTCTTACATGGCCACAATCAAGTGAAAATAGAATACTGGCTGTCCCTCTCCCCACTAAGATAAGCATAAACTTTCTACAAGTCCAGTCTCCATATGTCCCTAAATGGCCTAATTCTTCACAGTCAGAAGTCCTTATTATTTGACTTGCTGCTCCTAATACAGCAGATAATAACACCCCTAAGTGCACAAAAGATACTGTTGGCCAAGAAAATAAAGCAGTTCATAAGGTATTCAGGGAAGCAGGCTTCCAAAATTTTCTCCTCTTGAGTCTTCTAATTTAACTAGGAGCCCGTTTCTGGAACCAATGATCCAGCAATAACTTATAAAGAAAAAAGTGTTTCTTAATAGAATGTTCCTTGAAACAAAATGGTTTAAATTTCTAAGTTTCAACCAATCAATCAAGAATAGGAGAATCCTAAATATTCAGTCAACTTTCAAGTCTGATACTGACTAAAGAGTGGTATGAACAAGGTAACATGCACTATATATGTACATAAAATTATTTATATGCTTTACCATATAAATTAAGATGACAAATTCTCTTTTGAAACTAAATTCTCCCTACGCTATTTAATGGAATCAAGTAATAGGAATTAGCTCAATTCACAAATTACTTAAGGAATAATGCTTTCTAAATTATATAATATAGTCACTTCCTAACATTCAAGCACAAGTTATTGAAGGGATTTTGGAGAGTATTTTGCACACATCCTATGCATGGAATAACAATAATACTGGGTTTGTATTTCTGTCAAATCCCTAGGCTTTGTCTACCTCAAATATTTCAAGTCTATCACCTTCTCTCCAACTCAACTGCTGTATCCATCATCTCCAACCTCATGTACACAAACAGCTTGTAACAATAGGCTTCTATATTCACTGCAGTCAGATTCATGTTTTTCAAATGAAAATTTAATCACGTTACACCTCTACTTAAAACCTTTCCAAGGCTTCCCAATATCCTTTAGGATACAGACTAAGATTATATCATCTGTTTCCTACATTCCTCTCCATCTTTATTTCTCCTCCTTCTCAATGCTCAGATAATACTGGAATCCTTTCCATTCTTTTGCTTTTGCAGACACTATTTCTGCTACCTGCAATGCTCTCTGACTCATGCTGGTTCTTCCCAACTAAGCCTAAAAGTTACTTCTCTTGTCCTTGCCTGATTTGCCCATTAATACTACCTCACCATGCCAGGCAGTTAGGTTTGCCTATTACGTACTCTAGTATCACCCTGTAAATTCTCTCTTACTGTTCATCTTAGTTGTAATTATTTAATTTCAGTTTTTTCCAAAGTTTTTGGTTTCATGAGAACACAGACCTTAATTGTTTTATTTAATGTCTTGCAATATAATTTAATGTAATTCCAGGAATACAATACTAGCATTTAATAAATATTTGTTGAATAATGGATCTCTTAAAATTGAAGTTAATCCATAACTAAATTATTGTTGAGAAGGCAGCACAGTACAGTAGATAATACACTTATCTGGAGGTCTTGAAGACCTGGTTATTAGTCCCGTATCTACTACTTACTGTGTGACTTTAGGTCTCAAACACTTGGATTCTATACCTTAATAACACTATCGAACACCTGATCTGTCTTCCTTATGCAGTTGTTGGGAGGGGGAGAAAATGAAATAGTCTAGTACACTTTTTCACCTTAATATTTTTCAAATCAAGAGGAGTCTTAGAGTAAATATCAGAAAAACCTGCCAGTCATTACACGTTATAATACCTTGTCACTGCCTACCCAAGTGCGAACTTAGACATGACCAAGAATGTACCTTTTGTCACCTCTGTTATCTGCAGATAGAACCATATACAGTGGAGTTTTAACCTAACATCAAGATCTTCTGGATGACTTTCAAGAGAAATTACTTAACTTCTAATAATATGTAATATAATTAGTAAAAAAAAAAAAAGCTACAAGTTTAATTAAATAGGAAATGGAAACCAAGCCATAAATTTAAGTATGCTACCAATTCTAAAGGTGTTAGAGGTCAAGAGTAGCATGTGGCTGTAATGCTTGTGGCTAAAAGTAATTCAGAATAATCCTCAGATAGAATGTTCCTTCCTCCCACAAGAAAAGTGTCTCATTTTTTCCAAAAAGAGAGGAAAATGTTATTAAATCAAAGGATGTCTCTTACAATTGCTGATTTATTTGAATAAAATATAGTAATATGCATGAATACGTTCCACAAATTATGTGCCATACAAATAGGTGCCCATTGTGTGCTGTGTACAAAAAAATAATGCTTTACATAAAACTTAATAAAAGCTTCTCCCAAAAATTACCTATAAAATCTATGCATAAAAATAAGATGAAACAAGATTCTAATGTCATTAATTTTTTAGAGGAAATGAAATATTCCCCTTTTAGTAGACAGACTTGCCAAAACAGACTCCACTTCTTTCACTCTGTTCTCACTTTTAGCATGTCCCACATAATCCGGAACACTGTCATATGTCTAATTATTTAAAATATTCTCCTGGAAACCCTGTTCTAATATGTAATCATTACTACTGTCCAAAAATTCTTCCTTATGTCTTTCTCCATTCTTTCAATTGTCTGTTATATTTAATGTGATATTTTATTTGTGTCTTTGCAGATATTGTTTAAAGCCAAATCAATATCCTCTTCAATGTGATCTTCAAGCGTGAAATAGGACACGGGCTTTCACTTATTTTATACAAGTAGTACCGGTTTTCTAGGACTTGCTTACCTGGTGACCAAAACCATGTACTGACAATATGACAGGTTGGTGGTACTGGTGACTACTGAGACTAAAACAAACAATACGTGACTCAAACAGAACCAAATTTTTGCCTATCAGTACCATGCTCCTTAAGCAAAGGAAGTATAGTAACTCTACGCCCTCCTTATAAAGGACCACTGGAAAATTATATATCTCTTCAGACTTCTTTCTCTGATTCAGTTTGTTAATCCCTATGGCAAAGGACTTATATATTAGATTGTAAATAAATTCTGGAAGATGACCCAGAAAGACCACTTAGGAAAAGTCACAAGACTTCCCTGCATAATGTAAGGTAGAATAGAATGTAGAGCTATGGCAAATACGAACAGCAAACTTCTTTAAACATTTTTACCAATCAGCAGTTCATTACATTGTAAACAGCCCATACAAAACAGTTTATAAAGAATTTTGCATGAAACAGATGCTTAAATTAGAAGACCTATAAATTATGTGGCTGTTATAAACTTTACTCAAAGTGGAACCATCAATATACCTTGATAAGGCTGATAAGACTTTAGATAAATTATGACTCATCACTAAAATTATACTTTAAGTACTATCATCACAAATATATACATTATTTAAACATGAAGGTCATGGGGAAAGGTGTGGTAAGAGTAACTGAATTTCCAGCGCTATGCTGTGTACTTCCAAATCATCTCATTTAACTGGTAAATTTTCCTGTGATGTTAACATTACTATGTGAGTTGAGAAAACAGTAAATAATAGCCGTTAAGTGACTCTATTATAAAGTCAGCATACAAATCCTCATGTGCTTGAATATACCAGTTTGTGAAACGTGGTAATGGCCAACAGCTAAACTCAGAAAAAAATTCAATACAGTTGGAGTTTCCAAAGTTGGCTACAACAGTATGTCCCATCCCACTTTCTCTTTTATAGTGTGATTTCCTGTGCCAAGAAATAAAACCAATTTGCCCTCCTCTTGATATGGGCTGGTCTTGTGATCTGCTTTGACCAACAGAATGGGCACAGTGATTCTGGGTCACTCATGAATCTGGGCCTTCAAAGAGCTACAGCTTCTGCCTTTGCCTTTTGGAACATTTTTTCTTGGAATCTGGCTATCCTGATGCGAGGGAGCCCAATTAACATCAGAGAGAGGCACCCTTACCGAAAACTAAGGGCCAGGGGCCAGCAACCTGCATCCATTGCCAGTCATGTGAGGAGGCCGTTTGAGTCTGCCCTGCCTTCCTAGCATTACAAGGAAAGCCACACAAGGCAGAAGATTCATCCAGTCAACCCTTAAAATGATGAGAAATAGTAAATTAACTGTTGTTTAAGCCACTAAACCTTAGAGTGGTTTGTTATGAAGCAACTGATAAGTAAAACACTATTTCCCTTAGAAATGTATTTCAACAATACCAGTGTCAGCACTTAAATGGCCGATAAAAACCAGAATATACTTGGTTTCTGTGACTGAAATAGAATTGTGAAAAAACATAATAAAGCCTAAGCTTTAAGAATTACTAAGGGTTTGGGCACCCAGGCGGTTCAGTCAGTTAAGTGTCTGACTCTTGATTTCAGCTCAGGTCATGATCTCAGGGTTTGTGAGTTCGAGCCCCACACTGGGCTCCACACAGGGCGTGCAGAGCCTTCTAGGGATTCTCTCTCTCCCTCTCTCTCTCTCTCTCTGCCCCTCCCATGCCCACTTTCTCGCTCTCTCAAAATAAACTTAAAAAAAAAAAAAGGTTACACTTAGTTTATTATTTTTTTTATTTATATATGAAATTTATTGTCAAATTGGTTTCCATACAACACCCAGTGCTCATCCCAAAAGGTGCCCTCCTCAATACCCATCACCCACCCTCTCCTCCCTCCCACCCCCCATCAACCCTCAGTTTGCTCTCAGTTCTCAACAGTCTCTTATGCTTTGGCTCTCTCCCACTCTAACCTCTTTTTTTTTTTTTTTCCTTCCCCTCCCCCATGGGTTCCTGTTAAGTTTCTTAGTTTAAATAAAAAAACCAGTAGGGTTCAGTGCTTAAAATCACAATGTGTCATAAAATGACAAGGACTATTTATGGATAAAGTTAATACTGACAAATCACTAAGTCTTAAAATAAGAAAATAAGAAGGCATCACTTTAAGTTCAAAAAAGAAAGACAAATAGGTAACAAGGCAGAGTTTGGTTAGATCAAAATAGATAATCCAGATTAAATTTCTTAGCCTATGTATTATAGACTACCATCATATGAATAGTATGCAATAAAATATACAGCACTAAATCATACTAAACATTCTATCTTATTCAGAAAATTCTTCAAAGAAGAATTAAAATAGCAACACACCACAGAAGGAGCAAAATACCAAATATTCATAAATATTTCCAGTTGGCAGGGTCTGGATTACAGTCTACTGTCTTACATTAAACATCTATTATATGAAAGTACTGTTATACCATGAAATATGCTGAGTACACACAAATTAAAAAAAAATTCTTTTAGATACTCTTAGGGATAGCAGATGCTAATTGATTACAAAAAAGTAAGAATATAGTTGATTTATGAAAGATAACCATCATCTCCAGTGGTGTCATTGACAAGGAGATTACTTAGATAGACAATTGCTTTGATCCAATAAAACAGAGTCTCTTATGATTTAAACAGCAGAGAGAAAATAACCTGGCATAATTCCTACTTTGCTGCTATAATAAAAGGTAGAAAAATGGAATTTCACATATTTAATGTAATCTTATAATTCTTACAATATAAAGAATTCTAAAATATCACATAAAGAATAAAAACAACTCTCATGTTTTACCAAACTAACTCTGTCATTTCATCTACTTAAAAAGATTTCTGAAAAACTAGAAGAAATTCAATGATTTACTCAATTTTAAAACTCAATTTTATTTTGAGGCAGACACTATGGAAAATACTATATCCAAAAGGAAAAATGTATTTTGCTAAAAGGAACTCCCAAGGCAACTTTACCATAAGGGTAAGGTCTAATGATTTATAACTACTACATATCTTTTCAGTTGCTACTGGAGAATACACATTTAAAACAGATTTCGTTTTCTTAGGTTGACCTCAGATATTCAGTGAACATTAAGGTTGCAGCAATGCCCAAGCCCTTGCACATTCACACAAAGTTACTCTTTGGCTGTAAAGGATCCTTTTAAAAGAGAGAAAGTGAATATAATGGAGGAGAAAGGGACTGGGGAGGAAGAAAAAGCCGCTTTTGTGCCATATGAATTATTTATTCAGTCAAGCAATGAACTCACTATTTCCAACTCTAACAATCTATCAGGGAACTCTAAATAAGTGAACTCAAAGAGTAATAAAGTTTAAAAACTATCACTACTTACCAAGCTTGATTTTTTTTCTACTTGCAAACATTTTTAACTTTGTAAATTATATTTTTACAGAGTAATTTATAGTTCTAACTTATAAGTTTTATAAATCAGACAAGAAGTGTCAATTTTTAAAAGACCAAAAAAATCAGCTAATAACTTTCATCGGAGGATATTAGGAATTAACAAACTATGTTTTTGTTATTTTTTAAAAAATATTTATCTTTGAGAGAGACAGAGCATGAGTGGGGGAGGGGCAGAGAGAGAGGAAGACACAGAATCTGAAGCAGGCTCCAGGCTCCGAGCTGTCAGCACTGAGCCTGATGAGGGGCTCAAACTCAGGAACCACAACCATGACCTGAGCCGAAGTCAGATGCTTAACAGGCTGAGTCACGCAGGCGTCCCTATTTTTTTGTTACTCTTAATTTAGAAACCCAATTGCAAAAATGCCCATTTATCAGCCTTTTTACTACTACTATTATTTGTGTCTGCTTAATAATTAAGTATCTTAAACTGGCTCAAGAAAACCTTTCTCCATTGGTGATAATGTCATCGAGATCTGTTTTACAGAAATCTCTAGAAGGTCGTCTGGTTCTTGATAAGCATAGCCGAGTTAGAGTCATATTTCCCTCACAACCATTAATGATGTTTGGTTGCCTAAATTATTAATAGAGATTAAGCCTTTGAATAAAGGCAGTTAGATAAGGTACTTGTTTCCTGAAAAGAGAAATAATCAGGTTTAATCTATGCCCATCACCTTCTCTTTACATATTTGAGATGATGCAGAATTTTTGCCCCCTTTCTCATCACAAAATAATTTACTCTAGAAATATGAAAACACTTTGCCTTTTGTGTGAATGTTTGAATCGTCATTGCTCTCTCTTTTTGGCTTTGACTGAGGCATTTGTAACCTATAACCCCCACAGAGAATGCAACTTCTTTTGAAAAGTTACACACAGGGGCGCCTGGGTGGCGCAGTCGGTTAAGCGACCGACTTCAGCCAGGTCACGATCTCGCGGTCCGGGAGTTCGAGCCCCGCGTCAGGCTCTGGGCTGATGGCTCAGAGCCTGGAGCCTGCTTCCGATTCTGTGTCTCCCTCTCTCTCTGCCCCTCCCCCGTTCATGCTCTGTCTCTCTCTGTCCCAAAAAATAAATAAAAACATTGAAAAAAAATTAAAAAAAAAAAAAGAAAAGTTACACACAAATCCTTATACTTTCATTCTCTATTTAAAGTTGTTTGGCCGCATCAGGCTCTGGGCTGATGGCTCAGAGCCTGGAGCCTGTTTCCGATTCTGTGTCTCCCTCTCTCTCTGCCCCTCCCCCGTTCATGCTCTGTCTCTCTCTGTCCCAAAAATAAATAAAAAACGTTGAAAAAAAAATTAAAAAAAAAAAAGTTGTTTGAAAATCGCTAAGTCTCAACAGAAGTGTCTATAATTTGACTGGACTAGTATTTTCAGATAAAATACCCAAATAGTAAGCCTAATATCTTGTCATTTGGTCTAGCTCCCTCCGTGGTCCAGGTGCCTCTGATTCTCCCTGCTTCTGCTTTCCTTTCAGACAAATCATCTGGTAAGACAGAAGCACTGATCCTTGTTTAAGCCCCCTCCCCCCTTCCCTCCCCCCCCCCCCCCCCCCCTCCCCCCCCTCCCCCCAGCCAATGAGAATCAGAGCTGGGAGAGTACTTAAAATCCATCTACATTTCCGGTGAGGAAACTGAGGTCCACACAAGTGCTGTTATTAATCCAGATACCCATAATTAGTTTGTGGCACAGCACAGATTAGAAACCGTGTTTTCAGACACCATCTGGTGCTCTCTGCTCCATGTCTTCTACCAGCCTCCCAAACGGATCCTGAAATTCATACTGAAGAGTATAAAATGCGTAAAGCCTTTTGGAAAGCACTTTAGCAATATGTACTGTGAGGCTTAACAGGGTTTGCCCAATAATTCCACTCCTGGGATTCTATCTTGGGATAAACTGTCAGATAAGCTTTATATACAAATATTCTTGTTGGGTATTTATAATCAGAAAAACATTTAAGAACATATGTAGCCAATAATAAGAGGAGGTGGTATATCTATTAAAAGAACTATAATGGAGCAACTGGAAATGTTTATTAAAATTTTACAGTAGTGTTAAAAAAGGAACTTTCTTATGTTAAGTGGTGCTGTGTATGTGCAGAGGGAGACAACTTAAAAAACTTATGAATGTACACAAAACAAATTTTCTCAAATCCTTAGTTCTTCATTGACATTCATTATATTACATTAAGACTGACAAAAATAAGAGAGGAATTTTATTTTTATTTTTTTTTAATTTTTTTTTTCAACGTTTATTTTTGGGACAGAGAGAGACAGAGCATGAACGGGGGAGGGGCAGAGAGAGAGGGAGACACAGAATCAGAAACAGGCTCCAGGCTCTGAGCCATCAGCCCAGAGCCTGACGCAGGGCTCGAACTCCCGGACCGCGAGATCGTGACCTGGCTGAAGTCGGTCGCTTAACCGACTGCGCCACCCAGGCGCCCCAGAGAGGAATTTTATTTTAAAGAAGAGATTGTAAGGGAGAGAAAATGATCTCCAATAGATACAGCTGCCTTATTTAAAAAAATTTTTTTTTAACGTTTATTTATTTTTTGATAGACAGAGACAGAGCATGAGCTGGGGAGGGGACAGAGAGAAGGGGGAGTCACAGATTCTGAAGCAGGCTCCAAGCTCTGAGTTGTCGGCACAGAGCCCGATGTGGGGCTCGAACTCATGAATCACGAGATCATGACCTGGGCCAAAGTCGGATGCTTAACCGGCTGAGC